GATTTATGTATGAAATATAACGGCAGATATACAGTAAATAAGTGGTGTGTCTCACATTAGGTACCAAAAAGCTAGAAATATGTAACCGCAAACTTTTGGCACAAATCACAGTGACTACACAATTCTTTAAAAGTGTGATTTAAAAAAAGACGGGCAGCCAATAAGTTATTTATTAGTTGTTTCACATCTAATTAAAACTATTTATACTCTGCCAAACATGCTGTAAGTGATCTTAAAATGTGCCTGATGTACTGCCATATAACAATAATAATGATACATATTCCTAATTGTTCTGATCTATTTTTGCATTTTCTTAGTAAAACACATTTTGGACATATGTGGTAGGATTATTTTATTAATCTTAAATTAAGATATACTTTATTAGAATGTTTTCGACAGAAGCTTGTGCAAAAGAAAGTCACTGTTTTGTTCTGTTGATCTGTCCGTCTATTAACTAGACTGTCCGTCCCAAGCTGCCTTACTCCACTGCAGGGCTTCCTTGTCTTCTCATACTATATTTATGTATTGTTCCCGTCCGTCTGCCACCTCCTCATGTGATGAGATCAGTTTGCCAGGTTTCCTCCAGCCGGCCTGCCATCTGTTCGTCTCTCAGGAGTCTGTTTTCAGTCTGATCTCCTGGCAGAGAGGTGCATGTTGCATTACATACAGACTGGAGGGGTGCAGGTGCTCTTAAAAACATGTTGTGAAAATGAGGAGAGGAGTTGAAGCCTTAGCAAACAAAAGAAACACGCACACCCCCTCACGTCATGTGCCATGATGAGATCTCACCAAATAGAAGGCAGAGCGAAACATTCTTAACATTCCTCGTAAAAAGGTGTGCTGGGATCGGCCTCTCCTTGCCTAAATATGGCCTTCTGCAGAGGATCTAACGGTGCTGGAGGCACGTCAAAAGTATGATGGGAAGGATGTGGTGATAAAAGACGTGGTTGACCTTTTTGGGAACTTTATCAGACTGCATCTTGTGTGTACAGATACAAATGCACAGGTGCATCCACTGCTCACTAAGTTTCTGGATGTATTCAATAATTGAAACAATGCTTCCTTGTCTTCAGACGACAGCAGGCCTCTCATTTTCTAGTTGGCGACGGTCAGCGGTTGGCTGAAATCACAACTCTTGTTGGCAGGTTTAATCAACTGTAGCTCGCTAATTAAGCTCCATGTGTGGGTTGAAAACTCTTTTCTCCTTGGCTGACTTGTTTCACTTTTCCAGCTAAATCAGATCCTTGCAAAAGGGTCTTTAATGGATGATATAACATCCACTAAAGCCATACAAGTAACTTCTCTGTAGAAATGTAAAAAGACTATGGCTGAAGCTGCATGACCCAGACAAACTGCAAGGTAATCAAATGTAAATATGTTTATAATACAACTTGGACAAAACACATCATCACATTTGAGGAGACCATGTGCGCTATAGACCACTCGTCTCATCCCTTGCATGCTTTTGTGTTTTACTTAGTGTTTGTATTTATACATATGTTATTATTCTTGGGACAGTGAGAAATGCCATTTCTCACACACACACACACACACACACACACACACACACACACACACACACACACACACACACACACACACACACACACACACAGAGAAATAGATAATAAAAATGACTTGTACATTCCCCCCTTATCTAGCACCAATGTTACAGTAAACAAGGATCTTCCCTTAAAACAAAATGCAAAACCTGAATAATTTCCAATTCAAAACCACATTCAGCGTCATGGCTACAAAAAGTAGAGATTTGAAGCTGGAATAAATCTTGCGTGTTCAACATTTCAAAGTTGCTCTGACTTATTTATGGGAGCCCAATGGGTCTTTGCCCCAGGCCGTTTCATTCTGCAGAGCACAGAGGTGTGTGTGTGTGTGTGTGTGTGTGTGTGTGTGTGTGTGTGTGTGTGTGTGTGTGTGTGTGTGTGTGTGTGTGTGTGTGTGTGTGTGTGTGTGTGTGTGTGTGTGTGTGTGTGTGTGTGTGTGTGTGTGTGTGTGTGGTGTGTGTGTGTGTGTGTGTGTGTGTGTGTGTGTGTGTGTGTGTGTGTGTGTGTGTGTGTGGTGTGTGTGTGTGTGTGTGTGTGTGTGTGTGTGTGTGTAATCAGCAGTGCTGAGTTCAGGAATTTCAGTTCATCAGAGAGAGAAAGACAGAGTCAGCAAGATCTGAGCAAGTTGGATAGAAGATGGATCTTCAGCAGAGAGTAAAAGGATTTCAGCAACACAAGGGGAGGGTCCGGTAGTGAAGAAACTGTTAAGATTTAAGGGGCTGATGAGAGGCTTGAGTTAAGGACAGAGAACATGGAGTAGATTTGAGGTCATGGCTTTAATATAGGATTCAAATGAAGGAAAGTTAAATGTAATGTTACCCATGTCATCACGTTCATTTCTGTTGGCTTATGGATGACTCTTCAGATTTGTTGTCGTGTTGTTGTTACTGTCAGAGAGATGCATTTCTTTGTTGTGTGTGTGTGAGGATCTACTAACTAGACTAACAGCTCAACGACTGTTGGTTGGCTTGAAGTTTGGTACAGACGTTCATGTTCCACAGAGGATGAACCAAACAGACTTTGGTGAACTCCTGACATTTCTGATAGCGCTATAGGCAAGGCTAAGCTTTCGCTTATTCTGTGAAAATGAATGGATCATCAGAAGGGCTATCAGGAGAAGAACCTGTTGGTTTAGGCGAGGGATCATGTCTGGGTATGTAAGAGATACGATATGACGAGGATTACAAAGTCAATATAGTGGATTCAAAGGTTTTTTTATAATAAGCACAAACGAAACAGTGTAGTTGGATATGCAAATCTTAATCCCTTGGCCCTGTCCACAGTGCAACGTAAAATATATACTTAAGAGAAACAGGAAGTGGCATTGCAATAAAAATAGTGTGAGAAATACAATTGTTCAGGAATAAGTAAGCTATGATCGAATTTGTTAAAATCCGGTGTAAATGTGTCCTGCCTAATGACAAAAGTAGTGACATTTCACCCTCGGCTGTTAACACTCTATAGTAATGTGGTAAACAACTGCTTAACATCAGCATGTTAACATTGTCACTGAGCACGTTAGCCTGTTAGCTCAAAACAGCGCTGTACCTCTACAGTGAGTGCTGTGAGAGTCTTGTTTTTACTCTCATTGAGCAAACTCACTGCAGACGGGTTGTCCCTTCCCTCCCCAGTGGGGAATCCATGCGCTCTGTGGTATGCACCAATTACAGTGTTTTTCCCTCTTCCACACACACACACCCTTGACCTGTGTGTGTATCTGTAGCCAAGTGGATGACTCAAGGTGACTTGTTTCCGTGCACCAGCCCAGAGAAGGCCCTCGGCTGTTTTACCATTTCTGTCACGGTGACAAATTATTGTTTGAAGTTGGCCTTAAAGTCCAGCCACTAAGTGACTTCATTTTCGAGCAGCAGCAGCAGCCCGTCTCTATTACGGAGGATTTAGTAATGATATATCACCTCTGGCTTGTCCATATAGGGAGATGTGACACTACAATGAGCAGGTTATCTGAGCTGGCTGTGAAGGGTTTTCCTGTCATTCCCAGAAACGAGAAACTTTTCTCAACAAGAAGTTTTACCGCATATCCCAACCGCATATCCCAACCCCCCCCCCCCGCTCTTACTTTCTCCCTCCTGCACGTGTCTTCTCTGTTTTTCTCATTAGCCAGACAGATAAATATCTCTGCTCTGTTATGCTATCTTTATCGTGTGTGTACATGTAGACGTAAACACTGCCTTTTATCATCTCCTCAATGCAGCGTTGGCCAACTACTCAAGTAGATTTTAGGAGTTTATTTGACAATCTTGATTTGTTTTGTGGAAAGCAGCGAGCTTCCCCGCAATGAGTGCACTTTTGTCCAGAAGCCTTCCTCTCATTCGCTCTATTTCTTTCTGTCTCTTTGCTCGTTATTATTTCCCTGAAATCTGCACAACAACACACCCGCCCTCAAATAATGTTGATATCTTGATGTGATTGAGACAAATAGCTAGCTGTAATGTTTGTGCTGAAATGACACCTTGAAATACAAATGAAACAATACAACATTTTGAGAAATATGCTTCTTTCTCCCAGGGTTTTGTACGCTAAATCTTAAATAGAGCACATCAGATACTTTATGTAATAAAGACAAAGGAACATTGATAAACAAAAAAGAAAAGACTACTGTAGTGGTTTTTGAGCCTGCCATTAAAATAAATCGAGAAAATCACTACTGTATCATAACCAATGGCACTAATTCTGCACAACAACATATCTCGTCGTTCTAGTGTCTTAAAAGGAGGATACACATTATTATTAAAGAGGCCCTATTAGGCTATTATGCTAACTTTCATATGTTGTGCCTGTACTGTGAAATGTGTCCATGCTTTAAAGTTCAACAAGCTCTTTACTTTTCTCATACTGCCTGTGCTCTATTTTCACCCTCTGTCTGAAACCAGAGCCCAGTCTGCTCTGATTGGTTAGCTGGCCAGCTCTGTTGTGTTTGGTCAACCATTTAGAGATGTCCCGCCCCTTAGCCTATCACTTACAATGTGTTGGAGCGCTAGCCAATATAAGCGCCAGTGTTACATAATGATGTCATCGTGTTACAGGAAGTAAGCAAAGGAGGGGGGGGGGGGGATATGTTCTGGAGGGAACTTAGGGATTTTAGCCTTTGCAGACCATTTACATGCACACACAATTATATAACACACTGCAGGAAAGGGAAGACCCCGAAGCATACAAGGACCCCTTTTAATATCAGAATGTCCTTGAAAGAAAATGAAGAGCTTATTTGGACTGTGTGAGAGTGTTTTGAGTGTCTCATAGTCGCTCTCTCACTCCGTCCTTATATAAACACTGGCAGCGACTTCAGTCTTCGTGTCTACAATGTGTTTTTACAGCTTTACCAAGAAAGGTGTGTTAATGGACGTGGAGCTGGCTGGGGGTGCTGGTTTGGTGTTTAAGTGATAAATAAAGACTGAACTGTGTGTTCTGTTTCAGATGACAAGCCCGTCCAGGAGGAGGACTGGGTGGTGTGCCAGCACCCCGAGTGTCACGAGCGCCGGAGGGCCTCCAAGGTAAGACCTTTAAACCCTAAACCCCACCAGGTCAACTAAAAAAAGGACAGTGATGTCAGAGCAGCAGTCAGCAGGTTTATCTTCAGAGTGCCGTAATGTCTGGAAATGAAAGTGTAATCATATTCAGCTCACTTAAAGTCTCAGTAAGAGGAATAGCTTTTACATTTACTTGCAGAGAAATAGTTGAGAAGACTGCTCTCGTGACTGAATGTTATTATTAAGCTAGAGCCAGCAACATGTTAGCTTAGTTTAGCTTGGCATTGACTGTAAGCAGGTAAAAACAGCCGGTCTGCGTCCGTCCAAAGGAATCAATTATCTTAGAACAGCCCTAAAAACCCACTAATTAACATGTTATATCTTGTTTGTTTAATTCTTACAAAAGCTGAAGCTAAAGCCTTCACTATATGTGGCTTTTTCCACATTTTCCCCACTGTTTATGCTAAGCTAATCCACAGCTTGATGTAGCCTTTCATTGGACAGACAGATAAAAGTTGAACGATTTTGTCATTTAACTTGCAAACTACTAGCTTTTTTTGTGCCAAATAAACAAACTCACATAGACACAAATTATTGAACTATGACAGTTGTGATGGCTTGGTTTATGTTAGCCATTTTATGCTTTTTCTGTAGAGAGTGGACAGTATAAAACTAGGGTACATAAATAATGATGGGTAATGACATGTACTGTAGCAAGGGTCTTTGGCTGGACTGAAACGATCGTTGAACATTGTGATTAGAGACTGTTTTCCCTTGTTTCAATAAAAGTTCTTGAAACAAACAAGTGGCAACAACATCTAGTGTCCATAGGAATTATCTATAGTCGGGGGGTGAGAGAGGAAATAGTGAGATAAAGCTCTAAGGTCTGAGAGGAAGTCTGCGTGCTTGAATCGGTTAACAAAACAACGCCTTTGCCACGAACACTGCCATGTGTTTCCTGTTTCCCACCAACTGGCAATGTTGGTTCCTTGTAACCATGACCATAATCATTCCCTAATCTGAACCAAGTAGTCCTTACTGTAACCATGAGGACAAACATCCTCTTACCTTTACCAAGTAGTCATTTGAACCCAAACCATGATCTATCCTTATCCTGACCAAGTCGTTTTTGTGCTTAAAAGTGACCAAGCTTTAACCTGAAAATGCTTATTTTCTTTTTTTAAAACATGGATTTGTTATTGTTTTGGGAAGTTCTGACAAATGCTGTGGTTCTACCAATAAAGACGTCAGAGGACAATTACAATCATTGTAGTGATTTACAGGACTTGATTTTGGCCATCCTCAAACCTGTAAGCCAACAGATCAGGGGCGGTTCTAGGGGGGGACCAGTGCCCCCTAACACTGACCTCTGACCCCCCTGTGGCCCCCCCTAACAATGAAACGTTTTTTTGTTTTTTTTAAATGTATATTTTCTGGTACTCGGTTTGCCAAAAACCGCAGGATTTTGTTGCTGTAATGTGAGATTGTGCAGACAGCCTTATGTAAAGTAGAGATGTAACTGTTCATTGCCTTTATTTTTATATAAATATGGTGTTCGTGCAAACATTGCACTATAACTTAAGCTGAAGCTAACAGTAATAACTATAAGGTCTACCTGAAATAAATAAGTGTACTGAAACAAATACCAATAACTGTATTGCATTGTTTTCTTATGCGCAATTACTTCATACTGTCTAGTTCTCTTTTTCGTCCTGCATTTATTGTGCCCCCCTCAGCAAATAACGGCCCCCCCCAGTCAAATTGGTCTAGAACCGCCACTGCAACAGATCAACTCAAGGTGTTTTTTATTGTCTTTTGAACGGAAACTAAAAATGAAACGGCTTTAAAATGAAGACGCACACCCTGACCTGGTCCCCATAAGTCTTCCAGGGCCCCCTAATCTCTTGACCCCTTCTCGGATTTACCCAGAAGTTATTGCATCTCTCTTGGGTTGTGTTGCAAGTTGGAGCACAGCGGTGAAGCTACTTTTTTCGTCTTTTAGGTGTTCAAATGGGCGTGAGTGTCGGGGCTCTGTGTCTGCCCACTAGACTGTGAAATGAATTATTCCTTTGAAGCCACTGGTTTCTGAAAATGGGTGTCTGGCCAGAAGAAAACTCCGACAGAGTGTCTGGTCCCTCTGACGACCTGTGGGCTGTTTTGGTTTGTCGCCTACCTGCCAGTCGAGCTGGGCATTAGTCGGGGATGATGTCCCCTCCTGTCCTCTTAGTGGAAACAATGGGAAGGGAAAATGACAGAGGGAAAGTGCATCCAGACAGCATGCGGAGAGAGGAGACTTATAGTTCTCCTCCATGGTAACTGAGAATAATAAAGTACGGAGGAGGAAGGGAAAGCCGAAGAGCTTAACCTGAATTACCCTTTCCTTACTCCGCACATTATTGAGTCTCCCAACCCAACTTTTTCATGAAAGCGTGACAAGCTCCATACTTTAAAAAAAGATTTGTTTACACACTGGAAAAAATGCGGCTCCAAAAACAAGTTAAACAATAATGAAAACAAGCCGTTTTCACTTGAAACAAGTACAAATATCTGCCAATAGATCAAGGTAAAATTAGCGTGGTAAGATTTCTTGAAATAAGACGGGATATTTAGATAAATCAGATCTTGTAATTAGCTGGGAGAACTTTATTTGAACTATATTTGACCAGAATCAGGAAATGTTGTTACAATATAAGCCGCAAACGCTCAAAAGTTTTCTAATTTCTGATAGTTGGTGATTTTCTAATAAATATGTAAAGAAATGTGTTTCATCTGAGATACAAATCAAAATAAGATTTTTTGACTTAACAAGATGATGCATTGCCTAAAAACAAGACCCAATATCTCACTGCCGTGTTACTTCTGAAGTTATTATGTCTTATATCAGGTGTAAAGACATTCTGACTAGATATTAGACAAATATACTTGGCAAGATTTCGAGTTTTTGTAGTGACAGAGTTTTTAATGAGACAGAAGCTTAGTTCACATGCTGTATTATTAAAGTACGTGTATTCTTTTGTGTTTTATACAGCCTGCTGTGGCACAGGGGGGAATCAGTGCGGGACAAAGCATGTCTGACGCCACCTCTCTCCTGGGTCAGGGGCGGAGGTATTATGTAAGGAGATTAGGGAAAGACAGACAGAAAAGGAGGGGGATAGGTTAACAGACACAGGGTGGGATAAAAGTATTTTTGAACTATTAGCAAAATAACACTTTCAACTAAGGTAATTTAACCTGAGTTCATTGTATTTTTGTTTATGTAAGTCAGAGGGCAACAAAACCAGCTCTAAAGTTGGTATCAGCTAATATTTGTCTATTTAAACCATATATACAGTCTATGATTTAAACACCCAAAAGATGAAGATTAAGAAAAGATCATTCATTTCAATTTTTGTTTATGGCACCTTATCAGAATCAGATGTACCTTTTATTAGTCGCACAGAGGGGAAATGTAAGTTGTCACAGCAGAAAAAGAGCCAAAGGCAACTTAATATTACATGGCGCATTTCCACTACAGCGCGGTTTAAGCGTGCCCGTTTTTGGTTGCGTTTCCATGTGGCGTAGTACCGGCTAGCGGGTACTATTTCACAGTTTTTCTGGCCCCATACATTCGAGGTTCTTAGCGGGCCAACAACCAGGCTGAGTCGGGCTGAGTATGCTAAACTAGAGAGAGAATCGCTGGCAAGGGGGCTACAACTACAACAAAATGAACATATTTGACCGTGATTTAATTGTAATACACGTTTCAAAATGATGCCGAAGAACAACATACTGATACCGGTTAGTAAAAACCATGAATTAATGCTTTGACAAGTCTGCAGACAGACGGCAGGCGAAAAACCCTTTTTAAAATGCGTGTTTTCTGAATGGAGATCGGCTAAGCTAACGCAGTATATGCTCCGACCGTCCACACTCACAACAACGGCCTATACAGACATAAATAAACCAGCGACTGTATTCTCCATGACACAGACAGTCTGTGGTTTGTACATGTTTAACTTTTGTCTAGTTTCTGAACAGATATGAGGAGCTGTGAGCTTGAGTGCTAACAGCTAACGGCTGATGTTGGTTTTGTGGGGTTCGCATTGAAGATGACGTCATGGCTCCGTCTACACTGCGTTACTATAGTTACTGCCCCAGCTACTAAACTGTAATGGAAACGCAGCATAAAGTGAGCCAGTCCTATCAAGGCCTAGCCATACCGTACTAAGCCGAGCAAGGCCTTGCAATGGAAATGCGCCAATACATGCATAAAAAAGCATTAAAGTAAAAAAAAAAAGTTATAATATAATAAAAAATACACTTTGGTCCAGTATTCCCTGTTGTTGTCACTGGCCTTTACGCAGCTGAGTGCTCCACTGTGTTCACCAGCTGGTATATATTTATGCGGGTTGATGCTGAGCAGGTAGCGTGGAGCCGGTTTCTCTGACCTGCCTCAACGGAAAAAAACTGATAACAGTAAATCCAAACATGAAAAGAGACCTCAACACTCAACACTGAGGTGAAAACAAAAAGCTGAACTTAGGAAACAAAATCTGATGAATTCAGACAGTCATACCTTGGTCATGATTTATTTGGCTGGAGGAAATCATGAAAGTCGTGGAAAATATTCTGTGTTTAGATGAATCAGTCGGCTGTCAGAGCTCCAATTATTGCATCATTATTTCAATTTTCAACACTTACTCGTTATAGCATGACCCCACATTGATCATTTCTCCCCTAGTGAAGGTGGAATATCCCATAATGTCACAATTCAAAATGTTCTGGTGATTTTTAGTACTGCGAGGTGTGAAGTAAGAGCAGTTGGAAGGTGAGTCATGTTAGTTTCCACACAATAAAATCTAATTTATTGTGCGGTGTGTTTCTGACACCATATTTTTCTAATATCTCAATCTCATGGCTGCTGTTGCTCAACAGTTATACAAGCATTGCCTGTAACACGCCTGAAACAGCAGGGGGCGATGTCATGACATTGATTTGATGTTCCTGTTTCTCTTCCCTGCAGAGCTCACTCTCTTTGCATTTGC